TATCAACAAAGTTGAAATGGTAAATTGGCCACCGTTACGATTTAAAAAGCTGACGTTTCGAGCGTTAGCCCTTCGTCGGAGCGAATAGAGGAATTGTGGGTTGTGTGTGCTTTTAAAGGCAGAAAATGGAACTACGTTATTGGTGGGAACATGACAACGAGAAAAACACGAAAAATTAGTGGAATGAAAAGCTAGAATAGAATTAGTGGAATGAAAAGCTAGTGGAATGAAATTCTGGATAATCGAGTGAACCTTCAACAAGGGATAATTAAAGATCGTTTTGTTAAATTGTTAGCAAAATGGTGTCAACTTGTGAGCATCGTGACAAGTTAAGCTCGTTGCATGCAAATTATAAAGAAAATCTAATGACAAGATTTTCTACAAATAAAGAAAACCGATCTTAAAGGCCTGTTTATACTTATTCATGTCGCCATGGTAATGGTACATACGTCAGCTTAACTATCAAAAGAACAAAGTCTGTGTTGTTAACTCGCTTGCTGCCAGTTCTGAGAGATCAAGGGTGTTAGAGAAAATGGTGAAAGAAAGACAGGTATGGAAAACTGTGTTCAGCCACCTTACGGAAGATACCGAGTGTCAGACACTTCTGAAATAATACTTTTTTTTAGCACATCGTCACCGAAATTGGAATCTTTTTTATTTTTATTTTTTCACTGATAAGAAGTTTTCTCGGCGTTGTACTCTTCAAAGAGAAAAGATGTAAGTCAGTGAAGAAACCATCTCGCATTAAAACAGGAAAACTAAAACTCAGTAAACATATTGCTGATATGGTACGTAAAGTTGGCAAGTTCAAGTCTTACAGAGACATAAGAGGCTAATTGACCCTGATGCCAAAGTCAAATTGTCTAATGCCTATCTTCTACCTCATTTCCATTATCATTCTATCATTTGGCACCACTGTGGCAGAAGCAATTCTGCCAAATTAGAAATGAACACGCTTTCCGCTTTATTTATGATGATGATAAAAGCACAGATGATGAGTTACTATTGCGTTTGACCACCCTACTTTGTATAATAGAAGAATGCATAATATTTTAATAATTGTATTTAAGGCCTTGCATGGACTTGTCCTCGAATATTTCTAAGTTATTTATATTACGTAATTGTGGCATTAATTTGCGGGGCGACAATATTCTTACAGTACCTAGAGTAAACACCACCAGTTACGGTCTTCACTCTCTTGTTTATCAGGGCAGTAAGTTATGGAATTCTCTCCCTAACTACACGATATCGATTTCTGAATTAAGTAAATTTAAATTGGAAAGTTCCAAAATGAAATTTGACATCGACTGTTGCACCTTTTGCAGTAAATAATATTTTAAATTTTAAACTTATTAGTCATATTTAAATTTTTTTATACATATATATCTATTATTTAATTTTCTTTTATTGTATTCTTGTACTTTAGTAATTTCAGTATTTTTACTTGGAGAAGTTAGTAAGTATTTGCTATATTTAATTTAAGTTTATCTAAAGTTGTTGTATTGTACTGTATTGTAAAACTGAGTTCCAAAACGAAATAAAGACTAGGATCATCTCTCCGATCTCTTGTGTTCGCAGCAAAAACGTTCTGATCCACTGATCGTAGCGCAAAGAATTAAAGCAAATAATTTATAGATTAAAAAAAAAAAAAAAGATAAAATGGGGGACTTGTCGGACTATGGCGAGTTGTAATATGGTTATCGGGTAGCATTTCATTATTCGCGAAATCCACGGAGCACTCCCATATTACTTCCGGGATTCGAACGCTTGAGGAGATTGCGTGACTTAAGTCAAGAGGCGACATAAACTGCACTATCAGGGTTTAGGCTAATCAGAGATGGCGGCCGTCGCCATAGCGAGTCCTTTCGGTTTACAAAATCTTTTCAAAGACATATCTCCGAAGTTTGACTCAACGGAGTCCAAAAATGTTGTGCAATCTTTCCAGGTGAATTATGGAGGGAAATTCTGTTCGCTAGGAAGTCACGATTTATTGCAATGTTTGCAACTTCTTGCCAAGCACGGGTATGTGTCTCGAAGTAAAGTGAAACTAATAGAAGACTACGTTGCTCCGAAATCGAGTAAAGAAGAATTGATTAAGGAAGTTATAAGAAGGTACAAGGCCTCTCGTCCAGCTGTTAAAGAGGAGGAATTTCAAGGACGGGACGACGAAATCAAGGACATTACCAAACAATTGGAGTCAAAAGAGACCTCAGTTTTAAACTTGTTTGGGTCTTCCGGTGTTGGAAAGACAAGACTCGCAAACGAAGTTTGCTCACAGTGGCGAGGAAATTATCAAGTCTTTGATCTTAGAGAAGTTAAGAGTATAAAAGCGATGTACTATCACATTTTAAGTTCCCTTGAACTTGCTGTTCCAGTCGGTTTCGTGAACTTGAACTATGCTGTAACAAAAGTTCGCGATAGGATCAAAACTTTGAAAAGCGGAGGGCATTCTGTCCTGTTCTTCCTCGATAATGTGGACAAGTTTACCGCAGGACAGGAAATGGAAGGGAAGAGCTTAAAATCAGATTTTATACAGTTCCTTGAAAAACTTTTCGAACTCGATGACAAAGGAGAAAGATGCGCATTAAAGCTGCTGCTTACATCGAGGATTCAGTTCACAGATGCCACACTGGTGGATAATTTTGAAGTAATGTCTCTTGAAAGGTCATCTTCGGAGAAAATTCTTTTTCCTGAAGGATCGACTGATGTCCAAGTCCAACAGAAAGACAATCTTATCGGTATCTCCAAAGGATTCCCAATTGTTCTTAAAGGAATGGGTGCTATTTTGCGCCAGGAAAGAAAATCTGTCGATGATCTTATTGCTAGAGTAGCTGCTACTCCAGAGAAGTCAAAACTGCAGGAGGATGCGAAAGAAATGCCAGTGAGTTTTGAAGATGAAGGAGTTGACACGGGTCAGATTTCTGTAATCAGAGAAATGTTTTCAACACTTCCAAGTGACAGGTTAAAAGTGTCAGCAGTAGTAATTTCCTTGTTTCATGGCCCTTTCACTGTGGAAACCGCTGCCAAGGTTCTCGGTATTGATCAATCAGAGGCTTTTGCACAGCTAGAGGGTCTTGTAACCAGTGCAATCATTTCTGTGGTCGACGAGGAAGCAAAAGAGAGGAAATATGACATTCATCCACTTTTACAAAAGTATGCTGACAGCATCAAGAGTCATGAAAACTTTTCTGCAGCCTACATGAAAGCAAAGGGACGTTATTACGAACTCTTTATGTCTAAGATGGCGAAAATAGCCAAACTTATAGAGCCACAGTATGTCAAAGCATTTAGTTTGTTTGAGACTGACAGGGCAAATTTTGAATTTGCTCTTGAAATCTCCTTACAACCAGAATATTACAAAGTTCCACGTGAATTCCATGAGAATGCATTGATTGCATCACTTTTCATGGCAATGCTCACCGAGGGCAAAATGGTTACCCTGTTTCATTCCTGGGCTGAGATCTGTGAAGATGATGGAAAATCTGGTAGGTCACAATGGCTCTGACTGAAGCCTTGTCTTTTATATGTCATGGTTAATTAGATGAAATTTAAGTAAAATTTTCACATCGTCTAAGAGAAATTTAAATGGTCATATCACGTGTAAGAACAATAAGAAGCTTACCTCCAGCTAAAAGTGGAAGTAAATTGGTTTTAGTAATTAAGAAACAACAATTCAGAATCATGTTCTGTTGACAGGTATGATTCACTTTAACCCTTTACAACTTAACATCAGCATGCATATTCTCCATACTGTTCTCCATACATTTTCTGAGGTGCTGACAAGGAGAATTTGTTTAACAATCAAGAGCTTCTTTAGTTGGTGACCATTTTCCTTATTCTTGTGACCTTAATAAGTGACTTACATGTGATGTTGTGGGGAGAAATTAGATGCTGGTCACTCTTTCAAACCCAAGATCTCAGTAGTTTATCTCTTTACTGTCTGTCATACAGTTCTTATGATGTATGTTTGGAGAATTTAGCATCTGATTGACTAATCATCCCCTACTTAACATTTTTCTGATATTGTTGTGATAATGTAAGGAGAAATTCTGTCTTGGTCACTCAGGAGTTTCAGGGTTAATTCAATTAATGCACTTAAAAAGCAGTTGTAGGAAAGTGGAGTTGCCATGACAATTGATTCTGTGTCATGTTAGATATCATTTGCTTTAAATAAAGCATCTCTAGGCAGTACTTCCTGTTAATTTCTAACTGAATCAAACAATTTTAATTAAATTTCCAATTTGCCCATTCTCATTGTGTGATGAAAATACTTGAAAATAGAAGGAAAAAAAAAAAAACTCAAGAGTACCTTTAAATTAATGTTTTATCCTTCTGAGAGACAAAGATTAACATTTCACTGACTTATATTTATTGAACAAATTAAATGTGAGTGTAATTATATATGCACCTAGCAGTAGCAAAGACAATCAAGGAATGGGTAATTTTGTGCCGCTAAGTGGCTGAAATATTATTATAATGACTTCAAGGGTACACTCACTAACTTCAAATGTTCCTTGTGAATTAGAAATCAAAACTGTTAACACTAATGCAGTGAGAATTAATAAATCAGTGCTACATCATAAAATAGAGGTTCCATGTTAAATGTCATGACTCTGAATTTGTGGTTGCTTACTTATTGATATGTAAAGTTTCAAAAACTATTTTATTGATTTAAAAAAAAATATCACAACTTCAACACAACAGAGACTTCTGTCAAATCAACATTCAAAGAAGTCTGCACTACAACTACAGTGCCATTTGGTTCCCATAAGGCTTTTCTTTGTTTAAGCGCTTCAAAGTACATAACTGTATTATTAGATACTTGTATGGGAAGTAAGATATTTTAAATCCTAAATTATGGAATTTATTAAAAAATTTTGTCTACACCTCTTTGATTTTTGCCACATTACAACTCCTCAAGTAGCTTAATGAACCAGTACCATATACAAGCTTTTCAACAACAGCAACGACAAAATTTTTTTACCTTATAGCAATTAAAACACCTAACAGTATCTAACAATCTCTTGTTTTTTTCTAATCACAACATAATGGTTATTGATGTTTTAAGTCACAGAAATATTTATACCATCATGTGTAATTTAGACAGAGATTGGTGCCAATTTCAGAATTATTTGTTTAGAATTAGAGGTATCTTGTGTGCAATTAACCTCATAAAACACAAGAAAGAAACAAAACAAACAAATGCAACATCAACCTTTTAACTCCCAGAAGTGATTAACATGTAACTTCTCCCTACAATATCCATATGTGATCCAGCAAACAGGTAATGAGAATACTCAAACTTATCAGGTACAACTTGTTATCATGTCAGGGAACAGCAAATTATTGTAACAAATTTGGGAAGGAAATGAGTAGCAGCTAGAGGAGACAATTAATATTTACGCTTCAGCTGTTTGAATGGTGGATGTTATCCACTGGAATAATCTGTATGTAAATAGATACTGATGACATACCAGGATTTTACCTTTAACTAAAAAATCATGTCTTCATTGCATGCTGTGAAGATGCAATTTGTATCTTTCAAGTGCGAGGATATTGGTGTCGCCATGGTTACTAATATGATTATACTATTTTTTCATTAGAATTTTGACTTTTTGGAACAGAAAATATAAAAATATCAGTATTATTGTCTTTATTTCTTCCTTATAACTCTACATCTGAGTTTCATAACATTTTTGTGACACTAGCATTTTGTAATAGGTGACCACTTTAATTGCACTATTTTGCTGTTTCGAAAATGAATATAAAACAAAGTTGTGTTTTATGTGGAAATTTCATGAGTATCTATAAAATAAACAGAACATTACATGGCCGCTTGGGGATACAAATTTTATCTTCTTGTGCTGAAAGTATCTCTTACAACACTCGAAGATAAAATTCATATCCCCATGCAGCCATGTAATATCCTCTATATCCATTGGAAAGTGCAGTGCATTTTGTTAACACCTGTCCACTGGATAGTGATGTATCTGTTGGGTAATGTGTTATTGGCCCAGTGTAAACAACTGGGTCCAGAACTTGAGAGTTAACCCTTTCATTATCCTCAGTGACCAAGATACAATTTTTCCTTCCAATCAATTCACTTGGTACAATATTGAGCAGACAAGTGATAAGAATTAAGAATAATATAAATGAGGAGTAATTAGTTGATCCAATACCAAATTATCCAAACTAATCTTATAAGTATTGTATAGTAGACAGTAAGGAGAATTATCAATGAAATCTTGGGAGTGAAAGGTTTAAATTCTGTTACCAAACAACAAATGTTTTAAACTTAGTTAAAAACTGATGATAACAACGATTTGGAGAATTTTTTGAATTGAATGTCAAAAGCAATCCCAGACTGCTTGCTTTACTTTCCTCTGTGATTGGTCCAGAACACTTGTACCAGCACTTTCTCGACCAGTCAGATGCAAAACTTCAACCAATCACAACTAGTGTCTTGCGTTTCCCATGCTTCAGACAGTTTTGTCAGTTTTAATTTGGGTTCCCATTACCTTTTAAAGGTATTTTCCTTTCTACTGACAAGCAGTTGAAGTTATTTTGCTTTTGGTTTCACATTATTCAATAGAAAAGCACTATTGCTAATCATAAAGACTGAATGCAATTCTCAATGGGACTTTGTATGTATCAGGTTCTCTTGGTAGAACACAGTTGAAGTGCTGGGAAGCCAGGCAAGTTGCAGACATGCATGGAACAGAGAAAGCATTTGTGGTACTGGAGGAAGCTTTGCGCTCGATGGAGAAAGTTGAAGATAAATCCACTGAGTCTTTCAAGCTCACTAGAGCCCTTTACTTGCACACTGAAGGTGAAATCCTTTGGAGAGACAAAGATTTCAAGAAAGCTCTTGAAAGCTTGCAGCTGTCCTTAACATTCTCAGAAGAGCTGCTTAAAGAACATACAGATTTGGCAAGGTGCTACAATGCTGTTGGAAATTGTTTCTTCCACCTTGGCCAGCCAATGGAAGCGCTAGAGTTCTATGAAAAAGCCTACAAGATGCAAGAGAGATTGGCTGGCTCCGAACATCACTTTGATATGCCAATGTACAAGAACCAAATTGGTACAGCATATGAGGGTCTCCGAAAGTATGACAAGGCAGTTGAATATTATAGAGATGCATTGAGACTTCTGAAAGAGCTCAATCTTTCAGGTTTTCAGGATGAAGCACACTTTTGCAGAAATCTTGCCAATGCCCTCATGTTTCTAAAGAAATATTCAGAAGCAACTGAACCTTCAATGCGTGCTTACACTATTAGGAAGAATCTACTCAAAAATCACCCACATACAGTGCGCAGCATTTTCCAGCGAGCTGTCCTTCAGGCCAACTTGCGAGATTTTGGTGGAGCCTTGAAACTTTTTCTTGAAGCATGGGAGATGGAGAAGTCACTTGAAGTGGGGAACCACAGTCGGGTGTGGCGAAAAATTATCACTGGTGTGGAGGACTTTTTGGATGAGGGAGAACAGAAAAAAACATTTCAAAAAGATGCTTTCAAGTTTTGTGAACATTTTTGGATAGAAAAGAAAAAGTCTCAACGATTTGCTTTTAGTGAGTCCAACAAGGAAATCATTGATACCTTGATGCACCTTGCCAGTGATGAGAAAGACAAATACGAAGTGCAGAAAGAACAGCTTTGGTTCTATGAGGGTATGTACAATGCCACCAAGGAAGAACATCAGGACTGTGACCTGGAACCTGAAAGCAGTGCACTTCATAAGACATTGGGAGAAATGACCAAGCTTCTTGAACATATGATACACCTTTGCAAACAACTTGAAGATCACAAGAAGGAAGAACTATATGCAGATGAATTACAGGTATGCTGGTTTTAAACTTACATTGCTTCTTTCTGAACTACCATACTGATTACACATACATTACTATATATTTGATCCATCATATAATCACAAAAATTACCTGCATGCTTTACCTAACCCTTAACTGCGAAGATCTGATTGCTAATTCTCTCCTCTAGCTGCTACACATTTCCTCATAAAAAGGTTAAGAGAATTTGGCTTTAGATCAAGATAACAATTTCTACCTGATAAGTTTTAGTATTCTCACCACCTCTTTGCTACATAATGTATGAATATTACAGGCAGAAGTAATGTGTCACAAGGACTGGGAACTACCAAATTCACGAATTTGATTGGCCGAAATCAATATTGAAAGTGGTATAGATTTTCCATCTAGACCCGCATCTAGACTGGTCTAGAAAAAAAGGAACAAAGAATATAAAAAATTGGCATATAAGACACAGCTGTATAATAAACAACTTATTAACTGAGCTGGGTCAGTCTGTATGGGAGAATCTTGACCTCCGTCGCTGGTACAGAGCTCGCTGTGTTCGGCCTGTACTGGCGACCTTGGTCAAGATTCTCCCATACAGACCTCTCGCTCAGTTAATAAGAACTAAATCAAGTGGTAATAACAACATCTTTGTATGAGCTCCCCTTATGTAGATTTATCTATCTTTACATCAGTATCCATAACTAAGTGTGTGACTTCTGCATAACAAGGTAAACGTTCAGGAATATTCTTCTCAGTTACATCAATTTTATTGTTTGAACAAAAAAAAAATGACATTAGCATGGGTAGTTCAAGCACATGGTGAGGTCATGATTATTGTTAAAAATTCCTGTTAAATTTGTTAATGATTGTCATAATTTCATTTACATGTCTACTCAATATGAATCTCTGGGAAATTAACATTCAATGAAATATTCCTGAAAACACCCATGAAATACTTTCTCATGGCCATAAAAAAATAAATTAAAAAAAACTGAGATTCAAATGTTCATTGTGTGTGATTTTTTTTTTTTTTATATAAAATTGCATGTCTGATTTTCTATGATCAGAAACATTTGCCAAGGTCGAATTGTTTGTGATTGGATATGTAAAATCAACTGATCTTCTCATCTGGGCTGTGTCAATTTTACCTGTGTGTGTATTTATTTTACATGTAAATGTGCATGGAGATTTATATATTTAACATTTATTCCACAAGCGCGTTGGATATGAGATGATAGATAGTGAACGAGGCATGTAGTGCCGAGTTAGCTATAATCATCTCATATCCAACGAGAGCAAGTGGAATAATTGTTTTATTAACAAAAAAAACCGCCCCCAAGATATTAGACATCTTCTCGACTTTATTTTTTAAGAAACCGGATGTTACAATGTACAGATGGCTCATATACCATAATGGCTAAGCCAATTAGAAGTCTTGCATTGCATTATCCAATGATCCAGTTTTTAAGTAATAATATTATCCTATTCATTTAACATTCCTACATGTAGATAAACCATAGCCTCCATTGGTGCAAAAATATGCACGGATATTTGTCCACAGACATTAGCTGCTCCGAGATTACGTTCAGTGTGCAAACAAAGCTTGAGGAAAAGAAAGCTTCAAGGAACAGATCATGTCCAGGGACAAATATATGAGCAGATTTTTGCACCAATGAAGGCTGTTGTCCTTTAATTACCCCTCAAATATTTCTGCAATGCACAGATTAAGTGTTTACGGACATTTTAATGCTTGTTGCCTAGGAGTTTTACTTTTCAATGTTCTCTGTTATATCTTTATAATCAAGCAAACATGTCCCTTCTGTAACAAAAGCTAAACCCAATGACTCATCTGGAATTAAATTATAAACAAATTAATTTATGATCATGATGATAGATGTAATATTTGAAAATTGGGAAATCAGATATTCCCCAGTTTTAGCTGGGGCATATACAATCATGTGATGGATATGCCAATGTACAAGAACCAAATTGGTACAGCATATGAGGGTCTCCGAAAGTATGACAAGGCAGTTGAATATTATAGAGATGCATTGAGACTTCTGAAAGAGCTCAATCTTTCAGGTTTTCAGGATGAAGCACACTTTTGCAGAAATCTTGCCAATGCCCTCATGTTTCTAAAGAAATATTCAGAAGCAACTGAACCTTCAATGCGTGCTTACACCATTAGGAAGAATCTACTAAAAAATCACCCACATACAGTGCGCAGCATTTTCCAGCGAGCTGTCCTTCAGGCCAACTTGCGAGATTTTGGTGGAGCCTTGAAACTTTTTCTTGAAGCATGGGAGATGGAGAAGTCACTTGAAGTGGGGAACCACAGTCGGGTGTGGCGAAAAATTATCACTGGTGTGGAGGACTTTTTGGATGAGGGAGAACAGAAAAAAACATTTCAAAAAGATGCTTTCAAGTTTTGTGAACATTTTTGGATAGAAAAGAAAAAGTCTCAACGATTTGCTTTTAGTGAGTCCAACAAGGAAATCATTGATACCTTGATGCACCTTGTCAGTGATGAGAAAGACAAATACGAATTGCAGAAAGAACAGCTTTGGTTCTATGAGGGTATGTACAATGCCACCAAGGAAGAACATCAGGACTGTGAACTGGAACCTGAAAGCAGTGCACTTCATAAGACATTGGGAGAAATGACCAAGCTTCTTGAACATATGATACACCTTTGCAAACAACTTGAAGATCACAAGAAGGAAGAACTATATGCAGATGAATTACAGGTATGCTGGTTTTAAACTTACATTGCTTCTTTCTGAACTACCATACTGATTACACATACATTACTATATATTTGATCCATCATATAATCACAAAAAGTACCTGCATGCTTTACCTAACCCTTAACTGCGAAGATCTGATTGCTAATTCTCTCCTCTAGCTGCTACACATTTCCTCATAAAAAGGTTAAGAGAATTTGGCTTTAGATCNCATGTCTGATTTTCTATGATCAGAAACATTTGCCAAGGTCCAATTGTTTGTGATTGGATATGTAAAATCAACTGATCTTCTCATCTGGGCTGTGTCAATTTTACCTGTGTGTGTATTTATTTTACATGTAAATGTGCATGGAGATTTATATATTTAACATTTATTCCACAAGCGCGTTGGATATGAGATGATAGATAGTGAACGAGGCATGTAGTGCCGAGTTAGCTATAATCATCTCATATCCAACGAGAGCAAGTGGAATAATTGTTTTATTAACAAAAAAAACCGCCCCCAAGATATTAGACATCTTCTCGACTTTATTTTTTAAGAAACCGGATGTTACAATGTACAGATGGCTCATATACCATAATGGCTAAGCCAATTAGAAGTCTTGCATTGCATTATCCAATGATCCAGTTTTTAAGTAATAATATTATCCTATTCATTTAACATTCCTACATGTAGATAAACCATAGCCTCCATTGGTGCAAAAATATGCACGGATATTTGTCCACAGACATTAGCTGCTCCGAGATTACATTCAGTGTGCAAACAAAGCTTGAGGAAAAGAAAGCTTCAAGGAACAGATAATGTCCAGGGACAAATATATGAGCAGATTTTTGCACCAATGAAGGCTGTTGTCCTTTAATTACCCCTCAAATATTTCTGCAATGCACAGATTAAGTGTTTACGGACATTTTAATGCTTGTTGCCTAGGAGTTTTACTTTTCAATGTTCTCTGTTATATCTTTATAATCAAGCAAACATGTCCCTTCTGTAACAAAAGCTAAACCCAATGACTCATCTGGAATTAAATTATAAACAAATTAATTTATGATCATGATGATAGATGTAACATTTGAAAATTGGGAAATCAGATATTCCCCAGTTTTAGCTGGGGCATATACAATCATGTGATGAGGTTAGACTAATTACCAGTGAGCGAAAATACTTGATGGATTATAATCACTAATAGAACAATAACCTTGAAAATAATTAACATACTTGCATTTTTCAGGTTGTACAAGATGGAAGAGTTCCAGAGGTGACATCACGATCAAAAGGTACCAAAACTTTTAAATTGTTCGACATGTTTCCAAAGCATGTCTTTAATTGATATAATTACCTACTGTATGTTGCTATGGTGCATTAACTACCTCCAGAGCCAAACCTTTTCTGGCCAGTGTACAATCCAAATTTAAGACATGTGCAGCTGAGGAGGATTCTACAACTACATGTGTAATGCAGATCACAATAACAAATCACTTGAAAAGGATTGAATTACGGCTAATTTTCAGTCCACTCTTGTCAAAACTAAAGTCAAATAATGTTTGAATTAAAAAAAAAAAAATTGGGTTCAGTACTGCTCGTGCATTCTTGCTGGGAAATGAACAATTCATTCTTCCGGCTGGTGAAGTTTTGCACATGTACTTCGTTTCGCAGATTACAGATTTCCATTTATAAAATTACGGATTTCTCATTTCACAACTCAAAGATTTCCATTTTTTTAAAGACTTCCACTCCATAAAATTTACAGAATTCTTAATATTGCTAAATTGCAGATTTCCAATTTGTTTCGTTTGGTTTAGCAAGTTGCAGTTACTAAACCCACGTGTACCACAACATATCGACAAAATAAATCAAATAGTTCTGGTCAAAATTTTTTCAGGGATTAAATGTCTTCGTGCGAAAATTAATCGTAAAAATTAATGGGTAAGAGTTGTACAAATGACTGATGTTTGGTATCGGGTCTTTAAGCCATGTCCTATTCTTGCATACAAGTTACATAACCGAGTCTTAGTATGCACTTAGCTTAAAGTAAAGGTCGTATGTTTATCTTGAGGATCATTTGTTTCCTTCCAGCCCACCTCTTCATCGATTTTCGATGGTTTGATTAGCCGTAGATCTCATACATACATTCCGTGGTACTTATCCGACACAATCGTTCTATTCTTTTGATCACCGAAATTTGTCATCAGGTCCGCCATGTTAAATAAGATATCTACTCTCCCCAGACTCCTAAGACCGTACTAACAGCACGAAATTTGCGTATCGAATCACAGGCAGACCACAATGTGTTCTGGTTAATTTTTAATTATCTTACGTTCATTCCCCTCATCAGTTGTCTTAGTTACTACACGACTCAAGTCAAATTTAGCTTGGGTGTTATTGTGAATGAGCATGCCCTTTTTGTTGTCCAAACACACAGCTCGAGAGCAAGAGAAGTCAGCTGAGGTAGTAGAATTGTCCTCCACATCAACTGATCAAGACAGTGTCCAGAAGGAGGAAGTTGTGAGAAATGCGGATAAAAGAAAGACTGTCATCAAGAGGTACAGTTCATTCACATGCTATTGTAATTTTATTTTATCCCACGTTAGTGGAGTTATATCAAAACAATCAATTAAAAATATGTTTGCCTCTAAGAGAGGCTACCATGTAATTTCCCTTACAAACGTATCACCCCTAAATCAAACACGTCACGAAAATAAAGGAAAAAATCACCCTCTGAAGAAGCTTGTGATTGTTAAATGAATTCTCCTGGTCAGTAACGTAGCATTATATTCAGAACAGTATGGAGAAAGTGGATGCTGATGTTAGGGTGTAAAGGGTCAATATAATTTGTGACTATTTACATGAAATGCTCATCAGCGACGTATTGATCATATAAGCTCAATCAACCGAAGAAAAACATTTCCTGAAAAGGGACAACCATGATGGTCATATGCACAAATGAGAATTTTGGAATTAAGCGGCAAAAATGACTGTTTTGAATACTGGTCATAAAATTTTAAAGAGAACGTTATTTATTCCCTTACTTGATGATATGACTTAGATACTATTTGCACCTCAATAGCTCAAAAACAGAAAATTTATTCGATACAAGTAGGCCCACAGTTGTTTAGCAGTATGGCTTCTCTAAATTAAGTACTCGTTACTTGTGATACTTTGAAGCCTTGTAAATTGTCCGCCGGGTGATATAAAACCTTTTAGTGTTTACTTTTTTTATACACCGATAGGCCGATAGAAAGTGCAGTCTTAGATTGCTTGAAATCTCGTTATAAACTGCAGAATTTTTTTTAAGTTTAGCACAGTTGCGGACGGTTATCAGCTATTCGATAGAAAATCCGAATCTGCCGCATATTCACCTGGAAAAAAAGGTACAAAGTACTCCGTTTCCGCCTTGCCCAACGAAGCCGACTGCATATGCATCCAGTTTGTGATCTGGTAACATTATATTTACATCACATCCGGAATGTGAGCCTTCGAGCATTAAGCATCAAAATTTTGTGTTATGCATGAGTTTATCGTCGATAGAGCAAGATTAGGAAAACCAACTTGCTCTGCACTAAGATAGCCTATCACTGAAGTTAACATGATCGAGTTTGAAGAGCTACAAAACAGTTTTGAAAAAGAAGGGTAATTTGCATACAAGAGCCTGAACATAGCATGGATTTCCACTTGAACCTTTTGAAGGCTTTAGCGATTAATGTGATTTTGTAATTATTTCAGAGGTAAAATTGAAGATGAGTCCGAGACCTGGAATCTTGCAGAAGCTGGTGCATCCATTACATTTAACCTTGGAACGATGACAAAATCCTTGACCATAACATGCTCATTATGGGGCCCTGGAGCCCTTTCTCCTCCCATTGGTAGTAATGAGCTCTTAGTAAGCAATGTCATCGAGCTGTCTCACGATGGCCCACCTGATCTGGAGTTCATGGAAAATGCTCCAAGAAGAATAAATGTAGCCTTATTGCACAGTGCCTCTAACTTCAAGGGATATGAAGTGGTTATCAAGCAGTTGGTTGACCCAGAAAACAATGAGTGGAAGGCTTTGGAGACAACAAACATTTGGCGTGCGTCAGGTATCGAATAGAGTCATCGTGTTTAGTTCGGGTGATGTTTATCGACGAGACTAATGCAGAGGAAACATTCCATATACTTCTCAGAAAGTACATAAATTCACATAATCAGTGTTTGGAGTATTTAACTCCATATCGACTGGTTAAGAATGGTGTTGTTTTCGGGAAATCTTAGGATGGATTAACTTTCCAACTCGGAGCGGCCGGTGTCCTTACGGATTTGGACCCCCCTGTCCAAATCCGTTATCGTATATGAACTCACCCGGTGCCAATCCGCTGGCGGATTTGGACCCTCCTTCGCGGATTCGGACCCCCCTACAAAACCAAGTGAAAACATCAACCTTAACGTTGTAGTAGAAATAGATAATACTTTATCTTGAGGGTGACAGGGTTAGGGTAAACGATAGGGTCCAAATCCGCTGTAACACCGCTTTGTACAGGCGACCGCCGACTATACAGCCTTGCCACTCTGTGAGAAGGAACTAAGTAGTAAGCATAATCAATGATATCTATTGCAACACCACTAAAAATATATTCTCATCTTGTAGTAAATTCAACCGTCCCCAATTGGATGTTCCCCTTCGCTGAAGCTACTTGCAGGAAGACGTGGTTTTCCTCATTTGCGGTTGTCTGGCGCCTCAAGTCTTTTGTCTTTCCTAAGCTGACGTCTGTAACCCCAGAATTTATCTGTTCAGTGCCAGACTATCCAAATGTTACTGTTGCAATTCCATGGAATTCTTTGCCTGCCGCTACAGACTTTCATTTGACTCTAAAGGTATGATGTATTTGCAATAAATAATGAAGATGATGACGATAATGATAATTATTATGCTATAATGACATATCTTATTGTTATCATTAATATCATTTTAATAATCTTCATTATTCATTTTATTAAAACTTGAATGGTGATGGAAAAATACCAAACGTATTAGTGAGAGGGTGTAGCTTGATGTGAAATCAAATGTTTTGATCTAAATTACGATCGAGATCGGATTTGATGGTAACCATCGTGTTCGGATATTCTGAGTACGCTAGCCTTCGGCCGGAAAAAAAAAGGATGTTTGATTAAATCTGTTCAGATCTATATAATGACGTCTATTTAATTGGGAAACCACTGGTGACTAACTAAAGTACATCGCATTAACATAGATGTCTAATGTGATTGTCTTTTCTTTTGACTTGAGGTGCAAGAAGCGCCAAGCATTGATCACGATATGGAAGGAATGTTTGTTGGTCCGATTCTTCACATTTCGTACTCGCATGATGTGAAGCTGTCGGAGCCAGCGAAAATAAGCGTCCCGCTGGCACTCACAGACAGTGAAGTAGAGCCACCGAAGATGCCATATTCAGGTCAGTTGAGGATACTACATTTCAAGTCAAGAGAAAAGTCAGAAGGATGGACTGACATTACAGATCATTTGGAGATGCCTGCAGTAATTAAAGATGGAATAGTGACGTTTCAAGTTAAAACTCTCTGTCGGTAAGCTATAATTAAAGGTGTTGATCGGTGGACCGTGTTGCAAAGTCCAAAACTAACTGTTGTCAGTTCTTATCAGTTTATTGAAAGTCTCACTATATGTAGAAACGCTTTAAAAAAATAAAATCATTATATTGATTGATTTATGTCCAAAAAGTAATTAGGGAAATAAACAGGATTAATATTGTACGCTTACATAAACTTAGTGAAGACTATTTGAAAATGGTTTGCATAGTTCCCTGAGTTATTCATGCTGGCTTTAAACTAATTGGTTTTTTTTCGCAAACATTTTCTCGCCGGCCAATTCTAAAACTGGCGTCTGAATTAATTTTAAGAAAAGCAACTGACTTAGTTGGACATTTGCTTTAGGCAAAGTCAAGATAATCGTCGCGGAATTATTTCCCCTTCAGCAAATTGTTCTTCATGACGCGTTTCCTGTCATTTTCTTTCAGGTTCTGGCCGTGGTGGCTGAAGACGTCCGCCAGTTTTGCATGGAAATATGTCTCTCCCTTGTATGATAGCATCATGAAACAACACGCTGGGTTCTTGGCTTTCTTATGCAATGATACTGTACCCGGGAGATACTTGCTGTATTTGTTTTGTTTCCCGCAGCATTTAAGGTCCAGAGTGAATAGCGATATTTCCTCAACATATTTTGTGAATATGCAAGGAGAGGGAACCTCACAGAAACCCCTGTCTAACGGAGATGAGACGTTTGTGTCTCTTTCAAATGGATTTGAGGTGCACGGAGCGCCGGCGAGAAATGCAGAGGAAGTCGTCTTAAAGTACGTATCAGCTGTGTTACGTTTCATCGTTGCATTGTCATCATTCGCTCATTTGTAAATGTGAAAAGACAAAGTTAGCTCTGCCTCTCAGTGCTATAGATCCTATCGGAAATGCCTCGAACGTAGAGATTCATCTGTGACTAAACAACAAGATAGGGGGTGAGAAAATGGCACTGTCCCGTGGAATCCCAGCACAAGGTTACAACTTGTTGATACGAATGGGTTCAAATTCTTTATTTTAACTTCTTGCATTAAAAAACTGAAAATCTTCGAGAAATTTATCTTTAAAAACCGTAACGTTAAATAAGTGCCGAAGCGAAACGATCCTAACATTAAATGAGACCTCCACTCTTTTGATGACAAATAGTGTACAAATGTACTGCTCAATAGATCGGGCATAAAAAATTTCCTTACCATGCGGTCTGATTATTTTATCGTTTTCCAAAGAAGGATCTTACAGCCACTTCGACTTTCCTACAGCCGCCATCTTGAATGGTGCGCAATGCACTCTGGGCTAATGACGTGTAATGGCTGCTTGGTCCACTCGCGGTGTAGGGTTTCGCTCCTGTTGATGCCATATTGCCGTCGTCTAAAGAAATTTTAGTTAGTGTGTCACAGATCTTCCCTTCGACAAAGAAAAAGACACAAATAACCATCGAGTGTTATCGTATTTCTCTCTGCCTCTGGCAAAGACGTAGACTTGTGCCTGATTTGCTAAATCCCTTAAACGACTGACAAGAAATCTTACAAAAACCAGAAAAAGTTCGTTATTTATCAAAACTTTTTTTCGTAATTTGTTTATTATGCAAGGTTTCTTGGTAAGGAACAATTTCAAAGGAGTCTGCGTGTTAATATTAAAGACGTGAGTAATCTGCAAGTCGACTTCTTAAAATTGATGGGAGGACAGGAGAAAAAGAATTCCTCAGTAATATGTCAAGTGCCCATCATTCCAAGATCTCCAGTACAGGTATTTACGATGCTGCTATTCAAATGCATGCGTCTGCATTTCCATTAAAACAAACTTGTAAATAAGTGCAGTAAAAATTGTACTTCGCTATACCCAAAGGAAGTTCATTACTTTTCCCCTGAATCCTCGGGACGCAAGCAAACGAAATGTTTCTTGTGACATCGCCTTTATTTCACTGAATAATGAAAAAGCGTGTGGCTGCACCCATATATTTTCTAGAGATACCAACTTGGCAGCAGTGAGTTCTCGATGCACTCT